GCCTGTGGTCCCAGCTACTAGGGAGGCTAAAGCAGGAGACTGCCTAAGCCTAAGAGCTGGATGTGCTGTGAGCTGTGATGCCACATCACTCTACCAAGGGGTGACAAAGTGAGACTCTGTCTCTAAAAAAAAAAGAACAATATAATCCTGGTGGCGCCCATAGCACAGTGGGTAAGGCACCAGCCACATACGCTCAGGCTGGCGAGTTGGAACCCAGCCTGGGACCGCTAAAACAACAATGACAACTACAACCAAAAAATAGCCAGGTGTTGTGTCCAGCACTTATAGTTCCAGCTACTTGGGAGGCTGAGGCAAGAAAATCACTTAAGTCCAAGAGTTTGAGGTTGCTGTGAGCTATGAGGTCAAGGCACTCTACCCAGAGCAACAGCTTGAGAGTCTGTCTCAAAAAAAAAAAAAAAAAGGACCTATATATTTTCTATATTAAAACACATATGAAAGGTTTAAATAACTATAGGATAGCATCAGAAGAGCATGGTATAGTTCAAATGCAACACATGGATAAAGACTTTGTGTATGGGCATGTTTTAAACATTAAAAATGGCCAGTGCATAAAGTTCTAGAGATTGATAAATGGTGGGAGAATAGAATTTTGACCTGTAGAAATATAAGATTCTTGGGCAGCACCTGTGGCTCAAGGAGTAGAGCACTGGCCCCATATACCAGGGGTGGCGGGTTCAAGCCTGGCCCTGACCAAAATTGCCAAAAAAAAAAAAAAACAAGAAAGAAAGAAAGAAATGTAGAATTTCAGGCTTCAACCTAGACCTACTACATCAGTATCTAAATTCTGACAAGACCTCTGGTGATTTGTGTCCATAGCACAGGGTGGGAAGTGCTGCTCTATGGGACCTTCAGAATCCATGTAACAAACCCCTTCATTCAGGCAGCGCCTGTGGCTCAGTGAGTAGGGTGCAGGCCCCATATATCGAGGGTGGTGGATTCAAACCCGCCCAGCCAAACTGCAAGAAAAAAATAGCCAGGCATTGTGGCGGGCACCTGTAGTCCCAGATACTCTGGAGGCTGAGGCAAGAGAATCGCCTAAGCCGAGGAATTGGAGGTTGCTGTGAGCTGTGATGCCATAGCACTCTACTGAGGG